TCAGGCTGCAGCTGGAGTATTGCGTCCAGTTCAGGAGGGATGTGGACAGTGTCGAGAGGATTCAAAGGAGGGCCGCTCGCATGATCAGGGAACAGCAGGACAGACCCTATGAGGAGAGGCTGTTCAGCCTTCACAAGAGGAGGCTGAGGGGGGACCTGGTGGCCATCTGTAAACTTACTTGGGGGGGACCAGCAGGGATTGGGAGAGACCTTGTTCCCCCAAGCGCCTCCTGGCATAACAAGGAATAACGGCCACAAGTTGTTGGAGAGGAGGTTTAGATGAGACATCTGTAAGAACTACTTCACAGTTAGGGCGGCTAGGAGCTGGAACCAACTTCCAAGGGAAGTGGTGCTGGCTCCTACCATGGGGGTCTTTAAGAGGAGGCTCGACATTTACTTGGCTGGGGTCACTTGAGCCCAGTCTTCTCTCCTGCCCACGGCAGGGGGTCAGACTAGAAGATCCACAAGGTCCCTTCCGACCTATGAATCTGTGAAACTGGAAGTAAAATGTCAATTTGTAGTAACACCTGGGTTGCATTAAGAATGTGAAGAATAATTGTGGTGAATAACAGATTAGATGAATAAATGGTCTTCAGTTTAGTCATTTATGGTATTACATCTGGACTTAATGACTCCTTTCTTTTATGTACAGGCATATGTCTATGTGAAATCAAACACCCAATTATTTTGCTTTGTTCACAGCATTTATAAAACTTGAAAATCATGTTTGGACTATAAGATGTCTAGAAAGCAAAAATAATTTTTGGCCAAACTAACTTGACATTTTAAAGCCTGTGCCTTTAATGAGGCTGTATATGTGTATAAGGTGAATGAGTTTGAATTAGAGTAGTATCTTTTATGGCATGAATTTGAGTAAAGTATAGACTAAATTGAGTTCCTAGTAGAGAATACACATTTTCTTCCCTGTGAATGGTTTTAAAGGGGCGGGAGTGTCTACCTTAATCTGGCTTTACAATCACTGTTCTTGGAACAGACTCGTTCAGTTTCCATAAGTGATGGCTTGTGGTACAATTTAACTTTATCTGCCTTGATGCATGTCAGACTCTCTGCATTCCTGGAAAAATGCTTAGATTTATTAACTGTGTGTTTTGGGTCTTTGTTTTTTATTTGTTTTACATTCTTGTTAATTCCTAAACTGGGAGGAAAAGCTGAGCTACTAGCAGAGCTAGTAACTGAGCAGAAGGCCTCATGAACTGGAAGTAGTTGTAGAAGTAAGTTGTGGTGGAACTCCAGCCTGGGTCTTGTATGGATCATTCCAGCCTAAATGGAAGGGGAGGGGGCAGTGGCATATGGATAGGGTGGGAGGGGGTTGATTTTGGATGAATATTCAGTCTTGTTAATTAAATGCTTTGGGAAGAACACATCCAGGCTAATGAATGAATAAATAATTTTAAGTATATACTGAAAAAATTGGTATGACAACCAACACTTGGCAAACAAGCTTGGTACTCATCAGACTAAACACAGCTCCTTAGGCTCATTTGATGTTTGAAGTCAGTCTTTCTCTCTCTCAGGATCATTGATGTATGGAGACAGTTAGAGCATCTCTCCTCTCCCCTCTCTCTCAATCCCCCTCTCCCCTCTGTCCTTATTTAGCTGGTATGTTTGGCCAGCCCTGTCAGTCCGTGTTTTTTTCCCCCCCCCATGTGCACAAACACAAAGGTTTTCTTGCTCTGTTCAAGTGTAAGATTAAAATTAGCCTGCTATTAGATGAATGAACTCCTCTCTAAGTAGAAGCTGAAAACAACACTGTCTTCAGCCTCAAATGCACTGCGCTTCTGAAATGTGGGAGGTTATTGATGACCCTAAAATTCACAAGTTTGAAACTTCATTATCAGTTATAAATGGTGCTTTGGGTATGGGTGGGCATCTCCAGTTGTCTAATACTTTTACCAATTGGGACTGACTAGCTAGTTGACCAAGTCTACTTGGATTTTGAAGTGTAGGCATCTTTTTAAAAAAAAAAAAAATTCTGGTGCATTTACAGCAACAAATCTTTTAATGAAAAAATCCTAACGGGGAAAAAATAGCTTATTTCTTTTGTGTACGTTAAAGAAATATGCAATAATAGTACCCCTGCCTGTCTGACGTGGCAGGGAAGACGAGCCTTGTAGCATTTGGGGGGTGTGTGTGTGTGTGTGTGTGTGTGTGTGTGTTGTCTCCAGTTAATGAAAGGGAGCTACACGCAGACCTCTGGCATGAGCTAAATGTCACTTGAAACTGGCTTATTAGGGGTGCAGGGTGAAGCTGACTCCTCAGCAGAACTCAGGGGAGTAATGCAGTTGGGATTTGGTTTGACTAACTAGCACAATTTATTAGCGTACGCATCCTCGTCCATTGGCAAGGAGTTGGGGGAGGGGCACTCTGAAGTGCTTTGGGTTAGAGTGAAAGGCTGTCGAGGCGAAAGAGACTTAACGGTGGGAGTCTACTACAGACCTCCCACCCAGAGTGAGGAGCTCAACCAGGATTTCTTGGGTCAGCTCACAGAGGTAGTGAAGGCTAAGGATGTGGTGATCATGGGGGACCTGAACTTCCTGGACATCTGCTGGGAAGAGCAGTCAGCCAGGTCTGAACGCTCACGTAGGTTTTTAGACAGTGTGCAGGACCTCCATCTAACCCAGGAGTTGCACAGTCCCACCAGGGGGGACGCCTTGTTGGACCTAGTGCTGGCCACGGGTGATGACCTGGTGAGGGGGCTGTGGGTGTTTGACCACCTGGGCGACAGTGATCATCGCCTGCTGGAATTCACCATCCAGCGCAAGGT